AGGAACAGGAACTTTATATGTAAAATGCCCAGCACAGTGCTTACACTTGAACAAAATAGTTTTCGATATGTGCACTTGATTTTTTTTCCACTTCTTCTTTTTGCTCTGGAAAACTAATAAAACCATTTACTATCATCAGGATCCCACCCTTTTATGAGGAAAATCGCACCACTTAACATGCAGCAGCCTGCGTACCTTGCTCTCTCTCGCTGCTGACAGATGCCAGATTTCCTCCCAAGTCTATGCAAGCTTTTCGTGCCTCTTGCCAGGCTTTCCTTTCTTCTTCAACAAATCCGAAGATTTTGAAACACTGGGACAGAAGAAAAAAAAAGCCATAGGGATTAACTAAAGATCATAGTGAAAAGACTACTGAAAGACACCAAAATTATCGATGAAGATTATAGCTAAACATAAATTTTCTTGCAACCAAATAGAGATCTAAAAAATTAAGCCGGTTTTATTACCCGCAAAACTTTCTTTGCAAAGTTTTTTTTTTTCTCTCTTTCTTGGGACAAAGGATACAACTGTTTGGGTAATATTTTTATATAGAGTCTCAATTTCCATAGAGAATTTGACATAAGAATCTCCACCCATTCTTGCCTAAAATTTTCTAACGTGGTGAAGTAAACAAAAGTTAACTTTAAGCAAGAGAGATTTGCACTGTCACTCCTTATGGTCAAGACAGCAACTTGACCTTACCAATCTTCTTCTTACCTTGTTGTTATAAAAGTTCCAACCTTCCTTGCAACCTCCTGGGGCTGGGGTCATGGTAGGAATAACGGTGGCGTTGATGCTGCTGTTATGGCGCTGGCAAATGAAGGTGTTTGGATAACCACAGTTAATGTCATTCCAAAACCCTGGCAAATATACAGAACAGTTAAATTAGATTGACATGTTTGTGTTTTAAAACACTCTTTTTAAAAAAATGTATTTATATATTACAAGGGTTCTCAAAATGGTTTAGACTACAATCAAACTTTAATTTGCACAAGTGACTCAAAAAAATCTACACAAGCCCCTTTCAGTTAACTAATAAGAGTTCAATTCTACAGAGAACTTCCTATGAACTGTACATATATTTGGTGTTGCAGATATATCATCATTTAGATAATATAGTTAAGCTGTATATTTAAGCCAGTAATAGCTAATGATAATAATTGTGTAATATCTAAATTTTGTATATACCAAGTATTTGCTTAGTGTTTCAGATGTTTAAATTTCTCAACGGATAGGTTCTGTCATTACTCCAATTTTTCAGACAAAGATATGGAAAGGAGAGATAAAGGATATAGATAAACATTCTGGACAATTTCCTTAAATCAGAACATGAAAAATATTTTCTAAAATGAGAAGAAGGGAGAAGACTGTGCCATTTATTAGAGCAACATTAAGCATTCATTCTCCTTAAAAATTGAATGGTTCTGCTACTAAAGTTATTTTCACTTTTATTCTCTCTTCTTTTCTTGCTTGATTTAAGTACACAAGTTGCTACTTTTAGACTAGGGAGATAACAAATTACACATTACATCATAAGTCAAATAAAAGATTTGTATATTGTCTACCTGAATTTGAATACATGACCACACAGTTTTCATCTTCATTTGCAAAATTGGGTTCACCTGGGGCCCAGGCCACATAATCCACCTTGTTTCCATCCATCCAACTGGAAAGACAATTTAGACAGTTAGCAACAATCTAATCATTAGAATAATTAGCTACGCCTAGTGGTGGGAGCACCGAGTCGGTCAAGATGAAGGGATCACAAGGTCCTAAGCTAACAGAAGTGAGGGTTCTAGAGAGAGGTTCTAGAGAGTTTCTAAAGAGGAGCTTCTAGACCGAGGCTCTAGAAAGACTAACGGGAAAATCCAAAAGTGGTCTGTGCCTCCCGAGCATTGTGCTCATCTGTAGCAACCTGATGCCTTGGCTAGTCTTCTTTTCCCTCCCTAGAAGAAGCTGCCTTTAGTCTTCAAGCAGAAGAAATGGAGATCCCAGTCACTCTGGAAGTGGGCCAGGACAAAAGCCTTTCCTCAGCACTTCTTAGGCATGATTCCCACAAACACAGCCACCCATAGAGAGGCTGAGAATATGGAGTTTCTCGTGAGATCTATCTCTGGTTTTTCCTAAGTCATGTGAGCCAATGCTTATTTTCATAAATTAGAGAAATTCAGATACAGTTAGCTGGGAAAGGACCACTGAAGAGATCTCTCATTTAGAGGTGATCAAAACAGTTGCCTGTCCAAAAGAGTAGCAAAGGGTTCTGATCTTTAAAAATAATGAGTATGAGTTTAGTTCCCTGTTGCACAAAAATGGCGGTAATGGTCACAAGGGACATAGGTGTCTAAAAACATCTGTGTATGAGCCAGAACACATTATCTGCTCTTCAAACTTAGAAGAACATGTGTATTAATGAACAAGGAAAGAAATTCCCAAAATGTACTAAATTTCCTACCTCTCATAGCTTTTCCTGCTCCCTGAATCTAATGGAAAACAGTACAGTCACTCCTCTGAAAGGAAAGCATTTAACGCAGTTAAAAGAATTTTTCAAAGTTGTGCTGTTAAAGCAGTGAGTGAGGTAACATAAAAGAACCCTTTGCTTCTATGTACCAAGGAGTCCAAGCGGGACATATAATTTTTAAAATAAATTCAGTATTCGTATCTATATAATATATATGAATCTATATAATATATAATATAAATCATCTTAGTAGATGATTTGCTGATAGGTGATGACCCCCCAAAACAAAGATAAGTGAAATTTTGCAAGATTAAGTCAGATTTTGAGATGAGAATTAGCATGCTGAAAATATTTAATAAGATTATTTTTAATTCTTTTTGTATTTTTTAAAGATGCTTTTGAAATTGAGGATCCTGGAGAATTGTTGAAATTTCATTCGGCAAAAGAAAAGCTTCAGAATAACTTAGGTGTTTATCATATCATTACCATAAGCAAAGTTGTTTTATTTTGGTTTACTTACATAAACTTTTTATCCAAGCTGACCAATAAGCCAATAAGATATGCTGGCTGTGCATCATTCTTGTTTACCTAAAACATAGAAGTTTACATATAATTCAAGCTATACTTATATAATAAGCAAATTCTTAAATAAAACCTACATATATTTGGGATTTTTTGAAGGAGGAATTCATGTAGAAATTTGGTTATATATTCAGTTATGTTTTTCACAGAATTAAAAAGAAAAACATGCACACTATATAACAACCTGCATTTATAAAGTAAATAACTGAAGTCATTCTTTATAATATCAGATGCGTACTACAGTAATTAGGTTGCCTAAGACATCCTTTAAAACAAAGTGGCCATTTGGGATTATGCATCTAAGGAAAGACTTCTTCATCCACATATATATTTGTGCGATATTAGGAAAAATATGCCGAGAATTTCAAACCAAGGTATAATCACAAAGATGAAGAAAGTCAGACTACACTCTAATACCTTTGTAATCAAATGGATTTTTATTCTTTCATTACTATTCAACTTTTGTTTCTGCTTTCCCTCTTCCCTCCTTTCTGGATGCTGTGAAGATTTTTAAAGCAAAAACTGAGCCAAGCGCTCTTGGAAAAAATCAATGATACCTTTACTGTTAGCTGATAATTTGGGTATAACCAAAAAAGATTTCTATATGAAAAATCAAGCTGTACTATCTATTAACCAATAATTTGGTCTAACAGATTTTTAAATTAATAATCAACCTGCACTGTACACAAAAGGTTGATATAAATGACTAGTTAGGAATTATCATCTCTGAAAATCAAATTAGTGAGCTCAGACCATGAAGTATGGATCCTCACGAAGTCCAGGCTTCGTGAAAAACTGTTTCTACCTTCTGTAATTCTGCACTGAATATTCAAGCAATCAGGTCATTCACTTCTTTTATGGCTAATATCCACCCCCACCCCACCCCCACTCCTCTGGTAACTTCCTTACTCCTGACCTTAGAACGTTCAAATTCAACACGTAATTTGAAATTACACCGTGGGGTACCAATTGTAGACACTATCTTTGTTTATCACATGTCACTGTTCCATTCTTAAATTAATCATTTTCTTACATATTTCCATAGAAACTTCTTTTCACTTTCACTTTGAATAGAAACAAGATCGCCAAAATTCCTCTTGCAAAATCCTCGTGCATTGTCCATGGTTTCCTTCTCTTTGCTAAAATAATACTGGTAGTCTTTGTAAATGACCCACCCATCTTCAGTGACTGGTGGATCTGAAAAATTCATGGAAAAAAAGTGAAAGGGACAGAGTAGCTCTATCAGAGGTATCTGCAACTTTGAGAGCCTAGAATAAGCAGTATGTTTGTGCCAGGTACAGGCTGAATTAGCTAAGGCCAAATATCCACTTTCCGCCAACTCTGTAAAAACTAGCTACTTTCTCTTCTCAACTAAGTTCCATGGATCATTATTGGGTATAAGAACTCCCATTGCTATTTTCATCAATGGGATCACTTGGCTGGAAGGATTTACATCCATGCACTCATGATGTTCTAGGTTCAAAATGTAGAAGTTGTGATAAAGCAGCTTTCATCTCAAAATAACAAAGAACTTGTAACACATGGGCTCGGGTGCTTCTTGGGTGTCGGAGAACCAAGAAATTCACATACCAGGAGGGCTCCAAAGGCTTCTGCCAAATCGCAGAATTCTATGGCTCTGTGCTGTGGTAGGTTGAATAAGAGCCCTCAAAGATATCCAGATCCTAATCTGTGGAGTCTGTGAATGTTACCTTATACAGATAAAAGCACTTGGCAGATGTGATTAAAATAAGGATCTTGAGATAGGGAGATTGTCCTAGATTACCTGGGTGGGCCCTAAATGTAATCACAGGTATCCTATAGAGGAAGGCAGAGGCAGAAGAAAAAAGCAACATGAGGCAAGCTGTCACATTGCTGGTTCCGAAGACAGACGAAGGGATCATGAAACAATAAATGCGAAGAATACAGCTCTAGACTAGAAGCTGACAAAGGCAAGAAAATAGATTCTCTCTTTAAGCATTTGGAGGGAGCATGGTCCTGCCAATACTTTGATCTCAGCCCAATGAGATGGAGTTTATATTTCTGACCTCTAGAACTGTAAGGGAACAAATAGGTGTTGCTTTAAGCTACCAAGTCTGTGGCATGTGCTAAAAAAGAAATGTGGGCTCTTGGATTTGATTCATGGACCTTTGAGAAACTGTACTAACGATTGCCTTAGGTTAGTGCATATGAGCATCTGTCTAGAGAGAAGGAGGCAAACTTTCATGATTCTCAAAGATATTAAGAACTTCTGCTCTCCACCTTCTTAGGATAAGTTTTGTTTTTGTTTTTTTGTTGTTGTTGTTGTTGTTTTTTCACTGTGAGAGGAAAGGGGGAGGGAAAAGGCTATCAATATGGAAATCAGAAAATTAGAAAACACCTACTGTCTTCAGGAGCTGGTGTTGGCTCAGGTTTTAATTTTTGTCCTGGAAAACAAAAGAAAATTGATATAAAATGTGCTATCCTGCTATTAGATATCCTTCTAGTTTCATTATTTTCATCTGTCGATGTAACTAAAAACTGAATTGTTTGTTTTTTTCTCCCCTGCCTCTCTTCCATTTTCCAATTTTCCTATCATGCTGTGGAGGAGGAGAATAAAGGAAAACAGAACTGGGAGTTAAGAGATTACCAAAGTCGCTACAATAAAAACCATCAGAAACCAGAAGAGAGTTTTCAGGCATATCAAAGAGAAAAAAAAGAACAGGAGTTTTGGAATTAGACCTGGGTTTAAAATGCTTACCCCTAATGTTATCAACTCAAAAAGGAGTTAATAATATGTGTAAGTAGGTGGGGTAAAATATGTGACTTATTGGTATTTAGGAGGTCCTCGATAGATGTTAACGCATTGTATAATTAGCTGTGAAATTACTTAAAATATCATTTGAAACCATTAAATGTAAACTTCTTATTTACAAAATATGTCTTTTTCAAAGAATCTTATTTTTATTAAATGCATGTTTCATTAAAAGTTGAATGAAATATTTTTCTTTCTAAGTAGTTACCCCTATATCTGGGATTGGTTGGAATCCAATAAAAAGGACTTCAGTTACCTAGCCTCTGGTTTAATGTATTCAACATCCATAAGAATAGAGCTACTAATAATACATAAGAAAACTAGTCATTGGTAGCTAGAACTTAAAAAAAAAAAAAAAAAAAAAACTAACCCCTATTTTTTTTTACAGTTTTTTAAAAATTCATTCCTCCATTCCGAAAACTTTGAAAGCAACTAATCTAAGGAAAATAAGCATAGACAGCAACAGTGTCTCTAGTGGTAGAGATGGGACAGTAGTTCCCGACAGCAGAGGGCAATGTGGTTCCATTGATCTGTTTATGAAGGAGGAAGTTGTATATTTTGGTTCGTAAGTGGGTCTGTTGGTTTGTTATTTTAACATAAGAGCCTGGATCCTCTGATCTCAATGTTTGATTTGGAGATGTGGCACTTTCTGGGTCAGGATCGTGACTGACAGCATGCACTAACTGATACATGGTGAGTCCAAACACCGTCAGGGACCTCAAAATGGTGATTGTTCTTTGTAGTGAATGAACACTTCCTTGAAAATCAATACTTAGGACAATCAATACTTAGGACAAATGGTGATTGTTCTTTGTAGTGAATGAACACTTCCTTGAAAATCAATACTTAGGACATTCAGACTCAGGGAAGCTGTCACTTAGCTAACGTAGGGCAGAAGGTAAAAATTAAAAAAAAAAAAAAAAGGCACATTCATTACTCTGCTCATGGAGCTGAGCACCCACTCCTCGACTGTAGAATCTGAGCCAGAAATCACAGTTTGTGGGAACTCTTTTGGAGAACGTGACTCTGGTCATCGAGGAGTCCCAGGTGGCCTTTGGATCTTCTGTGCGTTTGGAACATTTATCTGTGCTCGGTGGCTTCATTTTTATTCTGTGAAATGATGGTCCCTGCCAGTTCCCTTATTTTCTTATTTTGTCTGTTTTTGTTTCCTCTAATAAAGGGAAGACATTGGGATGTCAGGAGGTTAGTTCTTCAAGCTGAGATGAAGCAGAGAACGGGTTATCGTACCTTTTCGTATCTGGCAGATCCAGTTCTTAAGATGTTCACAGTTAATATCATTCCAGGACATACTAGAATCACCTTTCAACTCTCCACAGTATTCAGTGTTCCCATAATTATTTGGTTCTCCATATGCCCAATTTTCATATGAAACCTATATGAAACATCACATTATATATAGAAACATTACATCTCAACCACTCAAGCATTTATATCAGGCCAATGCCAATCATCTATCCAAATAGGAAAGGAAAGATATATTTACATTTTGTAAACCCATTTAATTTTTCCACCATAGCTTTGCTTTGAAAGCAAAATTTATAAACATGGGTGAGAAAGAAATAGCTTTCATTACATGGAAACTTTTGAAGTTGAATAGAGTATGCTGTTGATTATTATAAAAATTTCTTTACTCTCATTAAATAAAACGGCTCCAAGACCACAAAAGTGAGCAAAAAGCTCTACTTCTCAGTATTGGGAGTTCCTACATTTATAATCCACTCTTAAGGGATAATATTTCAGTGTAATTTTGGAAACTTTCTCTTTATTAGTAGCAAAAAGAAATGCATTAGTTCTTTTTACAAAGAAAAAAGACCTATAAACGGTGGAAAAGAAGTGGAGGGCTGGGTTTAGGTCTCCTATAGAATTTTCAACGTGGAATCATAGCCCATAGGGTTTTGGACTAAGCATTATAATCTATTTTGCAGTGATAAAAAATATAAAATATCAAAGGAGCCATATTTTATTCAAGTTCCTTGAAAAGTTGCTGGTGGGTTTGTTAGAGAAGGTAGAACTGAAATCACAGAAAATCACTTCCTGTGATGACTAGTGTGGCCAGCAAGTATCCTAGCCTCTCACTTCTCCATTTCTGAGAATGGAGAAGTCTGACAAAACCTAATAGTTATTAATGGAATAGCAAAAGATGTTTCCAGATCTCCTGATCTATAAGAGGCTTCAAAACACTCAATTTTAAAGTTTAACTACTTACATGCCAATTTTGCATGATAAAATGAA